CTGTTGATATAAATCTAAAGTTCGGGGCTTATTTAATGATGTTTAATGTACTCGGGAGATTGTGGGAGAAACACCAAAGTAAACACTCAAACTGGACCACTGTGCTGCCAATGGTCGAGATCATTTAATAAATTTAGAGTTTGAGTTCTTGCTCTGTTTAGGAAAAATGTAAAAGTTATGTGAGGTGTCTATATGTATATATTTCTGTGAATGTGTTTCTGTTTATTTATTCCAGCACATGTGTATAAATGTTTTTTTTTCAGAGTACTGCCAGAGCGTGAGGTTTGTTTCAAATTTAAAGTCATTAGCAGTCCACTAAATATAAAAAAGAAAGCATCTTTTGCAGTAAATTTACTTAAGGAGTGAATTCATGACCATCTTGAGCTGTGCAACTAATGAGCTAGAAAATATTGCAAATTCAGAGGAGAAAAAAAAAGCCAGACTCAAAGTTTAGCATAATAACACAAATATTATTTTAAACTCCTGAACCCCTGAACTTTTAACTCTGAGAAGGGTTTTTCCAGCGTCGTAATATCAAATTATACCCAAACATACAAACAGTTTTCTCTCAGAGGACCTCCTTGTGGTTCATTGAAAACAATTACTGCTTTACCACCAGAACTGCTCCTTTATCCTGTTGTGGACTCTTAATGCTTCTCCTTCAGCTCTCTCTTTCTTCTGTTTAGTTTTATCATCTGGTGAGCACAAAGTTCTCCCTAAATTTTACCATTTTTTCCRTCCTGAATTCTTTTATTTTCTATATTACTGGCAACTTTCCACAGCAACCTATACTACGCTGTGCACTGAAGGTATTTAATGTTTTTTTTTTTGAGTACTACAAACTGAGTTGGACTCAAACTGAGGTATATAAAGTACTTGATAAAAATAACTAAGTAAAGGTACAAATACCTTAACAGAAGATGACTTGGGTAAAAATGACTTTCACTAATAAAAGTACTTAAGTAAAAGTTAGAAAACTGCTTACAATACTCAGGAAAGTAAACATACTTTTACACACRYKCTAAAAAATGAAGTGTTTAATTTACTTAACCAAGTWACGTCAGCTACACTRAACCAARTTGAGTAAATTGCTTTACATTTACTCAACTTAACATGACTTGACATTTTTTTAACGGCATTAAACACCTTTTTTTTACGATGAGTGTTAAATTTTTAAGTGAAGACGCAAAAGTACGAAATAAAAGTAAAATCTACAACTTAAAAAGTTACATGGTAAAATGGCAGATTCTCAAGAAGATTACTTAAGCTAACGGCTAGTAACACTAAAGTACTTTTTTTTGGATGGCCTCCCTTCTCCCCTTATAGCCATCCTCTCCACACCATTATGGTTTTTTTTTTTTGTTGTTTTTTTTTGTGAAGAGAAAATAGAGAGAGAGAGAAAAACAGAGAGAGAAGTAATTAGAAAGATAGAAAGACTGAAATAGCAATTAGGAGTATATTAAATATACACCAACAAAACACAGGACCACACACCCAACATCTGTCCACTCACCTGAAAAATAAATRGATAAATACAAAGAGGGCATATATAAAAATATACACATACCCATACATATATAAAGATATACATACATACATACATACATGCCTACATTCATAAATATTGTCCGTATATACACATAGACATATATACACACTCAGTGACCAGTCAGAACCCCTGGATCAGAACACCTGTTTGTGAGCAGTTGTGAACATGCGTGTATATACAAGATTTCTCCAATGGAATATTTAATAGTGACTGTGGAGGACCAGAGACCCAACCCCCAAGACACGAGGCAGACATAGGGAAGACCAGAGCCCAAGGGCCCGAGAGGGATCCCGAGCGCAGAGCCCCAAGGGGCACCCGCACGGGAAGATCCGCCCACCCACCCCACAGATCAGACCATAAGGGAGAACTGGGAGAGTCCCCCCAGYGACCACACGCACAGCCCCCTTGGCCAGCAGCGACAAACTCATGGGCCCCACCGGCACCCACCATACCAGAGCAGATCAAGGAAAGGGCACAGAGGTCCGGGCCCCCAGGGCGCACCCCCTCCAGGCCAAAGCCCGACAGGGCCAGAGGCCCCGAGCCCCAACAGGCAGTCACCAGGCCAGGCCGGCACACATCCCAGCACCCAGTCCCAGACCCCGGGAACCCCCAGCACGCCGGCGGCCAGCCGCACACCCCACCGGGGGGCCGAGTAGCAGTGGGCCCCCAGATAAACCAGCAGGAGGGGCAGCCCAGACCGCAGCCTGACAAATACCCAAACATACACAATCGCACCATCCCACCCTCATCCTCACCCCCACTCAGTCAAAGACATACAAGGACGCCACATTCCACTCACACCCCCAATACACACTCTATACCCCCCAGGTCCAGGACATGTACCCACCCCCTAATGGAGGCCGCACACACCCGAACCCAGGAGGTAGACCCAAGTACTTAAGTTAATTTTTCCATTACACACCTCAGCAACTGATAGACACGAAGTGAGGACAGAAAAGTGTGACAATTCCTGCTTCTGTAAAGTCAATTTATTCTAACAGTATATATATTTTTGTACYAGATATTATTTATCTAACTAGAGTCCTCCAGATCCCTTTTCATACAGAGTAGAACTTTGCTTGTATTTTTGGGATTTGAGTTGTTCTTTTTAAAGTTTCTTCCAGTTTTGAGGGAGGTTCATTTTTTCCATCTAGGTTCCTTTGTGTAAACATGGAAGATGGTCGTATTGTTTAAACTGTAAAGCCTCCTAAACCAAACTCTGATTACCTCAACTATGAAATGTAAAACTGATTAGACATGTCTGGCAAACTAACATCCTTCAAAGCTGAAAACCATCTTCTCTTCTCTTATTTTTCCCACAAGTAAAAACAAAGGCTGTCAAGCTAGTTTGGTCCAACAAACTGAAAGACTCACACAACCCAACACACTTTGTTTGACCTTTCTAGCTCTTGTTAAAGTCACAGCTCCTCACTTAGCTTTGCTGCCATGTGTTTAGACAAAAACAAAGTATTCATTGCTCGCAACAAGCCCGTCCATTCAGAACAATTGGAATAGAAGTTAATAGCTGGAGCCAACCGTGACTGGGGCTAATCCGATTGCCTGAGACAACAGAAACTTGTTACAGACAGATCAGCGAGCATCTGAAAGGAGAAGAAAAAAACTACTTAGACAGCAACACATCATAATAGCCAAAGAGAAAAATGAAAAATGTAGGAGTCATGCAAAGTTTATGGAGGCTTTAAAACACAATTATCCAAGAACATGTTCAAAAGCAAAATTAAATCAAATTTGATTTGATCAAACTGACATCAGGCTCCAGAAAAACTAATAGCATAGCTCTCTCTCTCGTAGACACACACACATACACAGCCAGACATGGTTAGCATGAGGGAAAACTAGATTAGAAGGTCAAAAGTTTACGAGGAGAGTCCCTGACCAGGCTTGTCTGCCATTTTTTAACTATCACATTGATATTCATTTGTGCTAAATTACAACTTTAATATGAATTCTTCTAATCCTTGTATTTTATCTTTAAAAAATGTAGACCCAGTGGCAGCTAGCAGCTAATACAATCATTGAAGACAACAAATAGAAATAAAAACTGTATTATTTGGATAAAAACTCCAAACTGAAACTCATCCAGGTGTTACTGAAACAAGTCTTTTGAAAAAAAAATCCTTATTGGTATTTACACACAAAAAAGGAAGTTTCAAGCAGAAAATATTCTCTTTTTAACATAAAGTTTGTTCATTTGAACGCATTAACTGAGTTTTCATTTAAGAGAAAACGTAAASATATTGACAAAGCACAAAAAGAACCTGCAGCCTAAAAAAAGATGAATTTTGTCTAAAAATTGACAACAAAAAAAATACAGGCATGAACAAACACACAGCCAGAAAAGCAGGCAGGTGCTGCCTCTCTCTCTYTTTTTTCTCCCTCTAGACACACAAGCTTTGTGGTAGACTGCAAAGGAAGGGTCTCCTGGGGGCCGAGGTCACCTCCCAGCGGAGCGCCACAACTCCGCTCTGGTTCCCAGATGTTTGCAGACCTCCTGAACATCACGGAGGCTGAACACAAACAAATCTAAATGGAGCGACACGTAGGATGGCTGCAGGCGTTAACCAGTCGCAGAGCATGTTTGTTTACACGCGGGGCCAGATCCCTCCACCCGTAAAAAGCATGTTATTGGCTTTTATCTCCTTTTCAACCATATTTAAGTCTTTGAAAATGAAAGTAACCAAGACAAACGGTTTGCAATTCTGTTACATGTATAAATTAACATGTGTGTATGCATGTATTACAACACACACACAAGTCGATGCATGCGCACTTGTTGAATACATGATCTATTCCTGGCCTTGCTAAGGAAATGAGGGGAGTCGAAGCAGGCCATTTGGATGCAGATCAGGAGAGACGTGTGTATGTGCTCGGTGGTTTCTGGTAAAGGGGAGGAGGAAGGAGGGGGCAGTGGAATCAACACCAGACCATCTATTATAATGACAGGAAGCAGGAAGTGCAGCCCCTTCCCAGTCACATGGCTGCCAGCTGTGTTGGCAGCAATAGGAAGGAAGATAAAGAAGATGATAGAGAGAGTGTGTGTGTCTGAGCCTAAATTTGTGGAGAACTGGTCCTTTATTTTAAATTCCAACACACAAACGAGCCATTTCTGAATAAAAATGCCTGCATAMACTACTGGAAAAAAAATTAAAACTAATTTTATTGGAGCACTGCCAACTGCTTTCCTTTGAATATTCAATCTTCTAAAACAAAACCTTCTAGATCTTTATGTTTTAAACTACCAGTGCTCTGTGTTCCAGCGCAGGAGTCAAACCTCACATTTAGACCATATGGATGTGTTTAGCAGCTGCAGCTTTACACACATCTGAACCGCCCACTTGCAGAGACTCAAATATGCACATTTTCACATGAACCTTACATTCTTCGTGTGTAAAATACGCACGCACGCAGCCACTCGTGCACGAGCGCTTACCCTGACACAGATGAGTGAACGGCGTCTGTGTCTCCTTGCWGTAAGAGACAACCTCTTTGGGCAGGAAGTCCACCTGTGTGATCTTCGAGGCCCCCAGCCTTTGCATTTTGCGCCTGTTTGAGAGGAAAAACCTTCATATTAGCATTGCTATGCTATAGCGAAACACCGAAATGTCCTAAAAACAGAGTAATGATTTAAATTTTAAAAAGCAACAAGTGAAATTTAATCTTTATAGTAGGACTGGACGATAGAACAATAACCATTACAAATAGAAGGGRGGCACCAAAAAAGTGATTCACATCAGAATCGTGATTCTCACAATGATTCAGAACTAATTTAAGATGTACGGAAATCAATTTAAAAAAAAAAAGAAAGCAAATCCTATGGCTGCCAGCCTCACTTGTGTAACTACGTGGGACGTCCTGAYGTTCTGGAACGTATGCATGTGCAGAAAGCACTAAAACAAAGAAGAAACTACAAAAACAGAGCAGAGATATTCAACCGGCCCTGTCTTTATTGAAGGCAAAGATTTGGGCTCATTTTGTWTTTTTTAGTAAATGAGTCGGAGTTCGACACGAGCGTCGCTGTGTGCAAGATTTGCAAAATGAAAATGAAGCACTTTAAGAACATGACAAATGGGCTCAAATTATCAGTTTTGAATGAAAAATCGATTTAGAATCAAATCATGGCCCCAAAAATCAGAGACGAATCTTATGATGGTACAAGATTCCCTCCCCTAGAAAAAAGGTCCAATAAAATGTAGATAATTTCAGTCGACTCTTATGCAGAAATGAACAGCATTCTGGGGGATGTAGGCAGAGGAAAGGCTTGATTAACTCACCCCACTCTTTGGTAAGCTAAAAACCTGTTGAGTAACATGTGAAGTAACAGTTTAATGTTTCACTGCTGTGGCTCAGAACTACTTACTACTGACTACTACTAACAGAAAAACTAATTTAAAATTATTGATATTAATCATACTTATAATAATCATTGTATTTTTTCTGTCATACCACCCAGCCCTACTTTATAGTGATTAAAAGTCAAGTTTCTTTAAAAGAAAAAAAAGCTAGTAAAATAAGATGTACCCGAGCTCTGAATCCACCTGCAGCTGCAGCACAGAGGGGTCTGTGTCCCACTGCAGTGTCCTGATGTCACCAGTAGGGGGGGCAGGAGAGAAAATGCAATGCTTTCAAAAATCACACAAACTCACAAACATTGGGACTCATTTATGAAGTGCAAACAAGTTTTTTATCAAATACAAATGCATGCTAGTTTACAGAGGATTTCTCCTTTAGAAACATGCATTTAAATGGTATTTTATAAGTTTAAAGCATCATATATTTGTCTGTGTCCAAATGTATGAAGTGTATGAACAAGACTATAAAATAAGGAGGACAGTGTAGCTGCTTAATTTGACAAACATTAAGCTCACAGAGTTCAGTTTCAGCTTGCTCCGTATGGCAAAAAAATCTTTCGCTTTCAGCAAGATCAAGGAGTAAGTAAAACCTAAGATGGTTTCGGCTGAAACATGCAGCTGCAAAAAGAGAGCACTGCGTCTTTTGATGATATAATCTGACAGAAAAACACAGTCAGTGTCAAAACAAAGCGTGAGGAGGTTTTGTTAGCGTGACAGGCCGGCTGTTTTACAGTAACACCGAACACGGTTTGAGCAACGCTGTTGACCTCTGTGGCTCAGCTCAAGCAAGAAGACATGTTTCRACCTGGAATTATAGGAATCAACGGGACTCAGGACAAGAAGATGTGAGAGGAAAAAAACAAGGAGACGGAAAAACTTCTATAATTGGATTTAAAGGGGAAACGGAGCTAAGGAAATAAAAAGGACTGCTGGGGTTTGACATGAAAATGCTTACCTTGAGCTTTGTGCTTGGAACTTGTTTTTAGAGAAACCTGACCTATGAAGGGACACACATACACACATACACACAAACACATACACAAGCACAAATGGAGAAGCTCAAAATGCAATGCCATCATCCGGGGTGGATTCCAGGGAGGAAAAAATTTTAATGCTAATTTGCAAAATCTAATTGGCAAAATCTACAAAAACACAATAAATAGGACTGCTGGGGTTTGACATGAAAATGCTTACCTTGAGCTTTGTGCTTGGAACTTGTTTTTAGAGAAACCTGACCTATGAAGGGACACACATAC